CTTGTTTCGTTCTGCTTTGCTTTGCATAGTAACAGGTCATAGCGTCTTCTAATTGTAAGAATGTTTGCTTATGTCAGCTCATACGGGATATTTTGTGTTTGTTTGCAGTTTTACCATTCATCCATTGATGTATTTTCAACAAAGCCATGCTATGCGTCCAATCAAATAAATCCCCCAGAAAGGAACAACGGTGTAGTTTTTCTACATGGGATGATGGTTGTCTGTCTGCCTAGTTAAGTGCGAGGGCAGAATAGTAAAAAGACTGGCGAAACGGCTACTTCAGGAGGCAGTCTCCCAGACATCTGACCCAGATGCGACTATGCTGTCAGCAGAGGAGGAGCAGCTGGAGGTACGGTCCACCTGCTCTGGATCAACATCCAGATCCCGCAGCTCACTCGCCAAAGCAGCAGTCGAAGCACGGGCAAAGGCCGAAGCAGCACGCGGCAGAGCAGAGTTTACATGACGGGAGATTGAGGTGAAAATGAGGCAAGCAGAGTTAAGTGCTACATTAGAAGAACTAAAAGAAGAAAAGGAAGCAGAAGCTGCGCTCGCTGAAGCCAATGTATTTGAAGCAGCAATAGCAGAGGAGGTAAGCGGGGAAATTTGGTCATCTCGTGTGTCAGAAAAACAATATGGGGAATCACGACAGGGTCAAGAGAACTCACAAACAGCGCTGAACTCTCACGCTCTACTCCAGCTTCCAGCTTCAACCCAGTCATACAGACTACAGAGTTATCTTGGATATTCTTCACCAGAGCATCGCAGAGAAGACTTGCCGGACCCTAAACACTTGACACCGATAAAACAATGTGACATCAGTCCAATCCCCGATCCAGCCACTTCACCTCAGTATGTCCCACAGGTAAATCAACAGGACATCAAATATGAGATTGGCAGCCATCTGACACCAGCTGCTGATACCCAAGAAAAATGTGGCCAAAGGTATGTAAGTACCACACCTCAACCTATGAGCTTTTCCCCTTACACTCCATCTTTCCAGCCAACGCAATTTAACAACGGGAACAGTGACTTTGCTAATCTTGCTAAGTTTCTGGCAAAAAGAGAATTGGTGGCAGATGGTCTGACAAAGTTTACAGACAGAGCAGAGGACTACTGGGCATGGAGAGCTTCTTTCTGTAACGCTATTGAAGGGTTAAGCTTAAAGCCTAGCGAACAGTTAGATTTGCTCACCCGGTGGCTTGGAGAAGAGTCGTCTAAGCATGCCAAACGTATACGCTCTGTCCATCTCAACAATCCAGCAGACGGCCTACGTCGAGTTTGGACACAGCTACAAGAATGTTATGGCACCCCAGAGGCTATTGAGAAGTCGCTCCTTGACAGACTTGAACGCTTTCCTAGAGTATCAAACAAAGACCCCCAGAATCTCAGAGAACTTGGCGACCTGCTTTCTGAAATCGATGCAGCCAAATCAGACGGCTCTTTACCTGGGCTAGTGTATTTGGACACATCACGTGGCATTGCCCCGATAGTTGATAAGTTGCCAACAAATCTCCAAGACAGGTGGATGTCAGAGGGGACTAAATACAAGCAGAGACACGATGTATATTTCCCTCCATTCTCATTCTTCTGTCGCTTCATACAAGATGAAGCGAAAATGAGAAATGACCCCAGTTTTAAGTCTACTGTATCAAATCCCACATCCTATCCAACAACTCACGACAACCACTAAACAAGATTTGTCAAGTCAAGACCGCCTGTTGCCGTCCACAAAACAGAGGTAAACAAAACTCACAAACCAAGCTTAGGCAGCACGAGTGAGTTCACAAACAAACTGTGTCCCATCCACAAGAAATCGCACCCGTTAAGTAAGTGTAGAGGTTTCAGTGAAAAGACACTAGATGAGCGTAAGGCATACCTCAGAGAACACAACATCTGTTTTAGGTGCTGCGATTCCTCAGCTCACCAAGCTAAAGACTGTAAGGAAGAGATTACTTGCCTAGACTGCAACAGCACCAAACACGTTGCAGCGCTGCATGCAGGTCCAGCTCCATGGACACAAAACACAAAGGCTCAAAACATTGCCCCAGACCAGGACAGGGAGGAGCATGGCGGGGAGAGTAGCTTAGACTTGGAGACTCGCTCAGCATGCACTCAAGTTTGTGGGGACTTAGGTGGGGGGCGTTCCTGCTCCAAAATATGTCAAGCCTACATTTATCCAAAGGGGCATCCAGACAAAAAAGTCAAGGTTTACGCTATCATAGATGACCAGAGCAATAGGTCATTAGCAAAGTCAAATCTTTTCGACACCTTTGGCATCCCAATGCGCAACCTAGTGCCATACACACTTAAGACATGTACAGGGGTTTTCACCACAAATGGCCGCTTAGCTGAGAACCTCTTTATACAGTCCGTTGATGGCCAGTTCAGCTCTCCTCTGCCTTCTTTGCTCGAGTGTGACTCACTCCCAGACAACAACAATGAAATCCCAACGCAAGAGATTGCTCTAGCCCATCAACACCTCAAACACCTAGCAGATCATATGCAGCCCCTAGACCCTGAGGCTGAGATTATGTTGCTGTTAGGCCGAGACATAATACAAGTGCACAAAGAGTATGAACGAGTGAATGGACCAGTCAATGCTCCATTTGCTCAGAGACTTGCACTTGGGTGGGTTATTGTAGGTGATGTATGCCTAGGAGGAGCCCATAAGCCAGCCATCATAGGCACATACAGAACGAGTGTTCTAGAGAACAGGCGTCCAAGTCTCCTAACACCCTGTCAAAACAGCTTTCATGTCAAAGAGCAGTCACACAACAAATCCTGGGACACTCACAGTTCATGTCAAATAGGGAAACACATATTCCAGCAAAGTGAAAAGGACGAAGAGCTAGCACCTTCCCTTGAGGACCAAGCCTTTCTGGAAATTATGGAAAGAGACTTTTACCAAGACGATGCAAATAGCTGGACAGCTCCACTTCCTTTCCGTACACCGAGAACCCACCTCCCAAACAACAGAAACCAAGCACTCAGCCGCTTAGAGTCGTTGCGCCGCACATTAAATAAACGCCCTGAGATGGAGAGACATTTTATGGATTTTAAGCAGGGGTTGTTTGACAGGGATCACGCCGAACCAGCACCAGCTCTCGAAGAAGGAGAAGAATGCTGGTATCTGCCCTTCTTTGGCGTTTATCACCCGCAGAAGCCCGGAAACATCAGGGTGGTGTTTGACTCGAGTGCTAAAGTTCAGGGAG